TAGAACTGGTGTACTGAAAGCGTAGGAGTCATGAGGACTCATAAGAAACCACTTGTCCTCTCATCTTGTCCCCTACAAGCTTCTCACTTCTCCCCATAGGAGGAGAGAGAGAAATATTTTCTCATCTCTCATAAACTTTTTCATCTCTCAACTTCACCCCTTTAGTACAGGAGGGGGTCACTAAGTACCAACTTGTGAAATTTTGACAGTATTTGACACCTATTGATTTGTTTTTTAAAAAATTTTCTAAATTTCAGTTTTATTTGACTTTGAAAAGAGCTATGTTGGGACACCCCTGGTGGTTCAGTGGTTAGATGCTGTGCTTTCGCTGTAGGGGTTCAGGGTTTGAACTCTGGTCAGGGAGCTAGGATCCCGTATACTGTGCAGCCAAATTTTTTTTTTAATAAGTAAGAGCTATATTTACAAATATTACAGTAATAAATAAGCCTTCCAGTTGCAGATGTGTCTGATTGTGTGAGTAAAGTCCAATGTAAAGAACAATATTGCATACGAACCTGGCATGTTAGGTCCATGAATCAAGGTGAATTGGATGTGGTGAAAAAGGAGATGGCAAGCTTGAACACTAACATTTTAGGAATCAGTGAACTAAAATGGACCAGAATGGGTGAATTGAATTCAGATGACCATTTTATCTACTATCGTGGGCAAGAATCCCTTAGAAGAAATGATGTAGCCCACATAGTCAACAAAAGAGTCCAAAATGCAGTCCTCAGATATGTTTATATGATGGACCATATCAGTATAGGGTTAGTCATTCAGTCATGTCAGACTCTTTGCGACTGCAAGGACTGTAGCCCCCCAGGCTCCTCTATTTAAGGTATTCTCCAGGCAAGAATACTGGAATGGGTTGCCATTTCCTTCTCCAGGAGATCTTCCCAACCCAGGGATTGAATCCAGGGCTCCTGCATTGCAGGCAGGCTCTTTACTGACTGAGTCTCCAAAATGCAGTAACTTGGGTGTAATCTCAAAATCAACAGAATGATCTTGATTCACTTCCAAGGCAAACCATTCACATCACAGTAATCCAAGCCTATGCCCCAACCACTAATGCTGAAGAAGCTGAAGTTGAATTGTTCTATGAAGACCTACAAGACCTTCTAGAACTAACACTGAAAAAAGATGTCCTTTTCATCATAGGGGACTTAGGAATGCAAGAATAGGAAGTCAAGAGGTACCTGGAGTAACAGGCAAGTTTGGCCTTGGAGTACAAAGTGAAGCAGGGCAAAGGCTAATAGAGTTTTGCCAAGAGAAGACACCAGTCATAGCAAATACCCTCTGCCAACAACATAAAAGACGACTCTATACATTGACATCACCAATGGTTGATACCGAAATCAGATTGATTATATTCTTTGCAGCCAAAGATGGAGAAGCTCAATACAGTCAGCAAAAACAAGACTGGAAGCTGACTATGGCTCAGATCATGAACTCCTTATTGCCAAATTCAGACTTAACTTGAAGAAAGTAGGAAAAACCACTAGACGATTCAGATATGACCTAGATCAAATCCCTTACAGTGGAAGTGACAAATAGATTATTTAAGGGATTAGATCTGATAAACAGAGTGCCTGAAGAACTATGAATGGAGGATCATAACATTGTACAGGAGGCAGTAATCAAGACCATCCCCAAGAAAAAGAAATGCAAAAAGGCAAAATGGTTTTCTGAGGAGGCCTTACAAATAGCTGAGAAAAGAAGAGAAATGAAAGGCAAAGGAGAAAAGGAAAGATAACCCATCTGAATGCAGAGTTCCAAAGAAAAGCAAGGAGAGATAAGAAAGCCTTCCTAAGTGAATAATGTAAAGAAATAGAAGAAAACAATAGAATGAGAAAGACTAGCGATCTCTTCAAGAAAGTTAGAGACACCGAGGGAACATTTCTTGCAAAGATGGGCACAATAAAGGACAGAAACAGTGTGGACCTAACAGAAGCAGAAGATATTAAGAAGAAGTGGCAGGAATACACAGAAGAACTGTATAAAAAAAAGCTCTTAATAACCCAGATAACCACAGTGATTGGTCACTTACGTAGAGCCAGACATCCTGGAGTCCAAAGTCAAGGAAGCATTACTGTGAACAACACTAGTGAAGGTGATGGAATTCTTGCTGAGCTATTTCAAATCCTGAAAGATGATGCTGTGAAAGTGTTTCACTCAATATGCCAGCAAATTTGGAAAACTCAGCAGTGGCCACAGGACTGGAAAAGGTCAGTTTTCATTCCAATCCCAAAGAAAGGCAATGCCAAAAAAAAGGTTCAAACTACCGCATAATTGTACTCCTTTCATATGCTAGCAAGGTAATGCTCAAAATTCTTCAAGCTAGGCTTTAATAGTATGTGAACTGAAAACTTCCAGATGTACAGCTGGATTTAGAAAAGGCAGAGGAATCAAAGGTCAAACTGCCATCTGTTGGATCATAGAAAAAGCTAGAGAATTTCAGAAAAACATCTACTTCTGCTTCATTGACTATGCTAAAGTCTTTGACTATGTGGATCACACCAAACTGTGGAAAATTCTTAAAGAGATGGGAATACCAGACCACCTCACCTGTCTCATGAGAAACTTGTATGCAGGTCAAGAAGCAATAGTTAGAACCAGACATGGAACAATGGACTGTTTCAAAATTGGGAAAGGAATATGTCAAGGCTGTATATTGTCACTCACCCTGCTTATTTAACTTATATGCAGAGTACATCATGCGAAATGCCAGGCTGGATGAATCACAAGCTGGACTCAAGATTGACAGGAGAAAGATTATATACCTCAGATATGCAGATGATACCACTATAATGGCAGAAAGTGAAGAGGAACTAAAGAGCCTCTTGATGAAGGTGAAAGAGGAGAGTGAAAAAGTTGGCTTAAAACTCAACATTCAAAAAACTAAGATCATGGCACCTGGTCCCATTACTTCATGGCAAATAGATGGGGGAAAATGGCAACAGTGACGGATTTTATTTTCTTGGGCTCCAAAATCATTTCAGATGGTGACTGAAGCCATGAAATTAAAATATGATTGCTCCTTGGAAGAAAAGCTACGACAAACCTAAACAGCATATTAAAAAGCAGAGATTTCATTTTGCTGACAAAGGTCTGGCTAGTCAAAGCTATGGTTTTTCCAGTAGTCATGTATGGATGTGAGAGGTGGACCATTAGGAAGGCTGAGTGCCGAAGAATCGATGCTTTCAGACTGTGGTTGGAAAAGACTCTTGAGAGTCCCTTGGACAGCAAGGAGATCAAAGCAGTCAATCCTAAAGAAAATCAACCCTGAATATTCATTTGAAGGACTGATGCTGAAGCTGAAGCTCCAATATTTTGGCCACCTGATGGGAAGAGCTGACTCATTGGAAAAAGATTGGGAAAGATTAAAGGCAAAAGGAGGAGAAGGTGGCAGAAGATGTGATGTTTAGGTAGCATCACCGACTCAATGGACAAGAGTCTCAGCAAACTCAGGGAGACAGTGGATGGGAAAGCCTGGTGTGCTGCAGTTCATGGTGTTGCAAAGAGTAGGACAAAACTTAGGACAAAACTGAACAACAAAAAATAAGCCTTTGATATCTTAATGTGTTCTGTGTTCTTCAACCTGTTAATTTGTTCTTGATCATATGGAACTTTGGGCAAAACTGAGACCAAGAGAAGCCCATCTTAACATTTTGTCATGTGTGTGTATTGCTCTTGCATCTTCATCATCACCTCCCAGCTTGTTATATATCCTATTTATGTATCTTTACCTTTGAAGGATACAAAAAACAAGCAATATGGCATAAAAAGAAGTAGGTAGAATTTAGGAGGGAGTGATGGAAAGAAGAAAAGCAAGTATGAATATATAAAACAGGAGTGAGGCTAAAAACCAGCACAGTTCCCATCAGTGGACCAAAATTTGGCTCTGAGTTTTCTAGTTAAATGAGGAGAAGCAGCTGGTCTTCAAATGTGAAACAGAAGGAATTTCTTTTGGGTCCAGGTGATCAGTAGATTGTGATGATGAAAGTACTTTTAATCTATTTAAATTGGATTTATTTAAAAAACTGGACAATTGTAGTTTGTTAATGTCCTCTCTGACCCAATCTTCCTCCTAAAAGACTCCAACATCAAACTAATTAACATAAAAATTCCCCCAAGGAACCAAGTCTGAGGAAAAGACACATAACTGTTTCCATCTTCAGTGTAAAGTTGTTGAAATATTCTACCCATGAGTATTTCTGCAGAGGCAATTTTAAGAGGGAAGCAAGAGTGGATGGTGGTTTTTTTGGATGGTGCAACAACCATTTTATAATTGCACTTGAACCAAGGGCTAAGAGGTGAACGAAGGCCCCAAGTAGGACGGATGGAATTCCCTCCCTGGAATTTGAATCAATTTTTGATTTGACATAGAGACAGAAGACGCTTGGGGCCATTCACTCCAGTGGGGGTGTGCTTGGGTGGGGCTGGAACACAGTTTCAGACTGTGTTCTGTCCAAAACTGACCAGACTGGCTCTGTCCTTTTGGGGTCTGGGACTTTCTTCTGCCTTCTTCTCTCCTGTGATACTGCCTTCCCCCTCCCCCCAACCACCCCTATAGCTTTCTCATAAAATCTTTCATTGCTGATAGCAGACTCCATTCCTGTTTCTTGCATCCCAAGTACTGTGACACAGTTCTCAATGTGGTTTCAGAGTGTGATTGAGTCAGTGGGATGATCTGAGGTGGCACACAAACAACATTTACATTTTTCAGTTATGTAATTAGTTTAATGTATATTGGGGAAAACTATAAACAGCACATCAAGCCCACAGTGTCATGGGTATTATTGCTTAGAACGAGGATACATTTATTTAAGTCAGAAAGTGAGTCATTTTTTAAAAGAAAGCGCGAAGTCATAGTACAGGTGTTTGTGATTTTGGGAAAAGAAATCTCATGGGTGGGGGAGCTGTTTGTCCTATTTTTGCTGATACGAGTTTCGGAGAGTTCCCTCTGTGCCATCAGGGAGGCAGGCTGGAGACAGGAGAGGATGGATGTGGTCGACACTGGAAAGAAGCTTTCAGGGAGACAACGCCAGGACCCTGCAGGAGAGGTGGGGCTGAACCCCTCTGAGACCCCCACATGATCCGCCATCTTCCTCTTGGTGGGCAGGTGGAGAGGTCAGCTGACGGATGGGAGACAGGGCGCCTCTGGAGCCCCCCCGGGGCTTCTCCTTTCTCTCTGTCTCCCCACCCCACTTCCCTTCCTGTCTCATAGTGTCCCCTGACCCCCGCCCCCAGCTCAGGCCTGTCTGGCTTTGCCGGCCAAAGAGCTCAGGGCAGCAGCTGTGGCAGGTCTGGGGCTCTTCAGGTCGCCTTGCCCCCAGGAAGAGAATGGATATGGAGGATCACCCCAACTCCGCAGCCTCTCAGCTCAGCCTCAGGTCATCGAGAGGGGATCCCTTTCATGATTGCTGAAGCTTCTCCCATTTGCCAACCTCTGAGCCCAGGCTCCACGGATACCGCGGATACAGCGGGGATTCCGCCAGCATCTGCAGACTGGCTCCTTTCCGCCCCTCACCGCCGACCCTCCCACACTAAGCTTGAGGATTCCCGGGCTTTGCCAAATCAGGGAAGGGAAGGAAAGGGGAGGGGAGGGGAGGGTGAGTTTGCTGCAGCCTGCAGCTGGAACTCTGCTCCATCCGCACCTGCACCTGCGCCCAGTTGGCCTCTCGCCTTCCAGGGCAGCGTGGATGCAACCCCCGCAGTGCTAGCACGGGCATTATTCTCTGCCTGGGTCAGCCGGCAAGTCACAGTGGCTGTATCTTAATTTCATCTTTAAGGACATGGTGAATCACTTTACCTCTAGTTCCTTAGCTGTAAAATTAGTGGGCTGTGCTATCAGAGCTCTGTCCCGGTTATCTACTGCTGTTGACAAACCACCCCGCACCTTAGTGGCCTCCAAGGACCGTTTCCAGCGCTGTGGGCTGACCGGGCTGTCGGCTGCCGGTCTGGCACATGCGCACTCGTGGGTCCCACTCTCCCGGGGCATCAGCCAGGGGCTGGGCTCAGCTGGGACACCTATGACGCTGGCCCGTCTCTCCACCTGAGCTTTCATCCTGGAGTTCTTCTTGCCATGCGGGTCACAGGACTTCAGAGAGGAGGAGGCTGGAAACTGCATGACCTCTTAAGGCCTAGGCTCAAAGTGGCACAAGCTGCATTCTCTTGCTCAAAGCAACAAAGAAGGTCAGCCCAGATACAGAGAGGGGAGATGGAGGCCTAGATGGGGGTGTCAAAGTGACACTGCAAAAAGATGTGGACCCAGGGGATGTGAATCAGGGGACAGGGCGGGCATTATTGTGACAGTCTACCTAAATCTTTAAAATCCCTTTTGGCACAAGCTACGATTCTCAAAACCAATTGCACTTAAAAATATTGGAGGAATAAAAGCATTGCTTTTGCAGGAAGCATAGTTGACTCAGGAAGGCAGTTGCATGGTTCAAATCTCAACTCCATTTCTTTCTTAGCTGTGTAACTTCAAGTAACTTACTTTACCTCTCTGTTTCTCAGTTTTCTCATCTAAAAGATGGGGACACTAATAATAACATCAACTTTTATGTAATCATATTCAATGGTTGCCCATTACATGATGTAGATTTGTTTTATTTCATTTAATTTTGCTTCTTTTGTTCTTTCGTATAAAGTGTGTGCATGGTAAATCTTTTGGTACTTGTTAGACTAGAAATATTTTATTTTACTCTAATATTTAACTCAGTTTGCCAGGGCATAAAATTCTCCAAAAATCTTATTTTTCATTAGACTATGAAATATACTTCATAATTGTCTTTTAGAATCCAGTGTTGCTTAAAAAAGCCTTATTTTTTTCCTTTTTGGTAGTCTGGGTTTTTTTTTTTCCTTTCCTGAAAGCTTTTAGAATTTTCTCTCTTTATCTTTGGAGTGAGAAATGTTTGTAAAGTGTCTCCAGGTTTGGGTCTTTTTCTTAATCTTGTTTGGTGAGAGCTTTCGATGTGAAAAGTCACATCTTTCAGTTGAGTGGATCTTTTATTATTGTTTCTGATTATTTTTTCTCTTCAGTAATGACCAGCACTCCTACTGGAATTACTATCAGATACGCATCAAACTGCATGAATATTGTCCTTCTTTACTTTCCTGTCCTATTTTTTAGATTTCTTTTTCTTTTTATTCTATATACTCTGGGAGATTTTGACTCTACCTCTAAAATCATCAACGTGTTCTTCAGTCTTTCCCACCATTCCTTCTGTTTTCTGTGTTTTTAATACTGGTGATCATAGATTTAATTAATCTCTCTTCTTTTATCCTGATTGACCATTTCCCACAGCTCTCAATAGTGGATATGAGAGATATGAGTTGGCTTTGCCTATGTGTGGCTTTGTTTTCCAGAAATAAGAGGCTGGTGGTTTCATAATAAATGGGGGGGGCTCTTTACCAACTGAGCCACCAGGGAAGCCTGGCCATCAGTAGGAGATATGCATTCTGGATGAGTGCTTCGCTCTGGCCGGCTGGCCTTGGCTCTGTTTCAGTGGGCACTGCCCATAGCCTTGACCGTCCTCGATGCTTTCTCTGCCATCCAGTGATTCACCTTGGAACAGCCCTTTGTCTTTGGCACAACTTCTCCAGGGCTCCCTTAGGGAGACCTGCATCCTACACTTTACTCTTTGGCACTGCCTTCTCTCCTGCTGTTTTTCCTGCAGTCAAACCATTTCCCAGGGATTCCGCAAAATTTCTGTCCATCGATGCTGCCTTTCCTGGTAGCTGAGGAAGGGATGGGCCCGACCATTGTCCTTAGTCCAACATTAGGAGCCAAAAGGTTAGAAAGTTTTTTATCTCGAGTTGTTTAAAATTCTGCTATTAAATGCCCCCTGCACTGAAACTTTTCCCAGAAAGAATCTATCAAGTTTATCTGTATGCTGAATTTCTAAGGTAGCTAATATGCCTTGTGTCTAAATGCCCAATTATCAGGAAGAAGATGCAGCCTCTGCACATTCTTTGGTTAATTAGATCTGCTATGAAATCATTCATTTGATGTCCACCTAATGAAGCTAATAAAAGCCTCCTCGGAAGCGGGCTATTCTTCGTACCTTAAATACTGTACCTTTGCTCAGTGACGCTTGCAGCCAGGCTAACAGACTCATTATCTTCCAAATTCTGATTCTATTTTCATGCTCCGTTGATTTCATTAGATACAAAATAAAATCACTACCTATTAAAGTTGCATTAGAGTCCTAACTTAAACTGACGAAAGCTTAGAAATGTAGACCCCGGGCTGTTGTTCAGCCTCCAGTGGATGAAAAATTCCTGCATTTTGCAGACTGAGTGGATTGGGCCTGGCTTGTACTTTATGGCCTGAATAATCAGTGTTTCCCCAGGCTGGGTGGGGGCCAGCAGTGCAAGCTGCCAATGAAATTACTTGGTTTCTCGTCAGTCAGTGCTTCAACCATATTTTAATAGTTTGGCAGTTATTTCCTGGTTTCCTGAATCAAATGAGGCAAATGTGAGGATGGGGAGAGAGACAATTTTTACATGGCCAACAGGGTGCCTTCAGAAAAGATTACCAGTAGAGATATTTCCACTGTTGATGCTTTGGGGCCTCTCAGGTGGCTCAGGGGTAAGGAATCCGCCTGCCAACATAGGAGACGCAAGAGACACAGGTTTGATCTCTGGGTTGGATCCCCTGGAGAAGGAAATGGCAACTCACTCCAATATCCTTGCTTGAGAAATCCCATGGACAGAGGAGCCTGGCAGGTACAATCCATAGGGTCACTCGGGATACAATCCATGGGGTCACAAAGAGTCACAGATTGGTAGATTGGTTTTACTTCTACATCATGTCATCAATGTTACTTTCCCCAGAAATTTAAAAAACAAAAATTAACCAAAACCGGCTTGGATTCTTACAAAAAAATTGAAATGGAAGGTTAAACGGCCGCAACTTCCCGATGGGTAACCTGACTGTATTGGGGAGAGAGGTAGTGTGGGCATCTGAATGAGGTTTGAAAGCATGCAGTTAGCTGGTGATTGCACAGGGGAAAGGTGTTGGCTGAGAAAAGAACTCTGTCCCTGGCTCAAATTCGGGTGAGCCTGTGACCTTCAGTCAGTTACTCTGTGGACTTCAGCTTCCTCATATGTAAAATGGGGCTGTTGCACCATATTATACTATTACTCTCACTAGATGACTCAGTGTGTGCATATGTAGGTATGTGCACATATCCATCTGTCTTTGTGCATTTAATTTTTAAAAGCTGCCCTTGGACTTCCCTGGTGGTCCAGTGGTTAGGATTCCACACTTCCAATGCAGGGTGCATGGGTTCGATCCCTGGTTGGGGAACTAAGATCCCACATGCCATAAGATTCCCCCCTGCAAAAAAAAGCTGCTTTCCCCAAAATTGCCCTTCCTCAATTTGAGGGACTGTTCTAACCCATCCTTCTTGTGGCTGCTAGGCAATGTCCCCTTTGGGCCCTACATGAGGAATTTTTTTCTGGTCATCTCGAAGACTCTTTGCAGTACTGCCAGCCTCTAAATCAATATTTGGGAGGATGGGTGGCTCCTGATCACTGGTATCGGAAGAGGGAAAACTCTGCCCCTCCCCTCTGTTCTTCCTACATTTCCTCCTCCTCATTTCCATTTGGACTCTCCCAGCTGATTCCTAAAGTTGGGACTTAAAGGCAAAGACTAAAGAGGTGACAGGACACTATCCTTGATGTACTTGCTGACATCCTAGTAGGCACACAGCAGCTCTCAGGGTGCCATGATGTTTTGATGAAAACTGCCATGCAGTTGAGGAATACGATACAAAAACAATAAAGAAAAACTGACGACAAAGCTACTGTTTATAGACCACTTGTTATGTACGAGGTGCTGTGATAAAATACTTGTATACATTGATTCCTTACAACTCAGTGAACATTATTATCCCATCTTACAGGTGAGAACATAGAGACTCAAAGAAGCCAGGCAATTTTCCCAAGGCCTCAGAGTGCCCTAAGTGACTGATCAAGGATTGGAGGCAAGCAGAGCTCCTTGCCACCTGGCCAAGGAGGAATCACGGAGCAGACTGGTTTTCACACTGTGGGTTGTAAACGATTTATGGGTCATGAAAAGTATTCAGAGGTTAAGGACAGTATTAAAAAGTAGAATAGACTAGAAAATATCAGAGTACTGCTTATGTTTTATGAGTGGTGTACTTGTGCGCATGAGTGGGGGTGTGTGTGTGTGTGTGTGTATGGGGTTGTAAGGTAAAATTGGTTTCCAACTGTGCCTTATGATTTAAAAAAAAATGCTTGTAAAGCTCTGGCTTGGATAAGTTAATGAATCAGATGGAGTGAAAAGGGCTAAGTATAGGGAAGTCTAGGTTTTTCCATCCAGAAATTGACTATTAATTAGTTTTGTCATTTCAAACACTCTCATTACAACTCTTTATCTCCTTTTCTTATGGTTCTTTCTGGCTCTGACATTCTATGATCTTTTGAGAAGCACAGACAATTGACTTGTGTCCTAGCAGTTCAGAGCATGGTAAGTCACTGGGCCCTGAGGAGCTGTTGTGTGTGTGTGTTTGGCTGCCTGAGTGGAGAGGAGGAGGAGGCTGACTTTCCTGGGCAAGGGGCCCAATGGGGCCAGGGCTTGGAAGTGGGCTCCGGGAGCACATGAGTGCAGGGGTGAGAATGCAGTGCTGGAACGAGCAGGCTGGGAAAAATCTTGGGAGTGGGGAGCGAATGAAATCTGTGGCACAGAACAAATTGATAAAAGAACATTTAATAGGAGTTTCCTGGTCGCCTAGTGGTTAAGACACTGAACTTCCACTGCAGGAGGCCTGGGTTTGACCCCTGGTTGGGGAGGTAAGATCCCGTGTGCCACACGGCCAGAAAATAGAAGGGAAAAAAAAAAAATGCATTTAATGCTGAGACTGCAAATTTCTCAGAAGCTAGGCCGGTACCATAAAGGAATGCACCAGGTGGGGGCTCTGGTAAGCTGTCCATCACTACATGGCCCCCTGAGGGGACAGCCACCCCTCGGCTGGCTCTGGAAGATTATTTTAGGAGAATACAGTCCAGGCTCTCTAGAGCTTCCAAT